CGCGGGAGCAAGAGGATGTGGCCCGGGCAGTCTTTTTCGATTTGATGGAAGGCGAACGTCGAGTTCCAGCACTATACGCCCACGACTTGCAGGCTCTCCCAAACGACTCCGCTGCCTCTGGCGCGTCCGCTGCCTCTGCCGCGCCCGCTGGCTCTGGCGCGTTCTCCGCTCCTGCTGCTGCTGCAGCTGCTGCCGTTGCTGCTCCTGCGGCAGCTGCTGCCGCTGCGCCAGCTGCTCCTGCGCCAACTGCAGCTGCTGCGGGTGTGGCAGCCCCCTTGCCAGCTGCAGCTGCTGGCCCTGCTGCGCCAGCTGCTCCCGCGGCAGCTGCAGCTCAGTACCCGCCGCAGCCTCCTGGGCTGGCGCAGGTGGCGGCACCGCCTGCCGCGGCGCCGCCGCAGGCGCCGCCGCCTGCGGCGCCTCAGGAGGCCGCGCCGCCGCTTGCCGCGGCGACTTCGCAGAATGCCAGCTCCGCTGCCTCTGGCGCGCGTGTCATGCCACCCCCGCTGGCATCGATGAGCGCAATTGCAACTGACGTTGCTAGCTCGTCGCCGCCGCCGCGGCCGGCCGCCAGCTCGCCGCCGCCGCCGCCGCCAGGGCAGGACCTCCAGGCTCCTCACATTTCCGCGCCTGCTGCCGCTGCCGCCGCGCCGCCCCTGCCTGCCTCTGGCGGCTATGCTGCGCCTTCGGTGGCGACGCCCTCGGGCAGCGCGATCGCGGCGCCTCCGCCTGCAAGCCAGTCGATGGACACGACGAAACGGGGGAGGGACGAGCAGCGGACGGAAGAGCCTCAGCGGCGGACGAGGCTACGCTCCAGAAGCCAGCCGAGACCGACCGAGGCGGATCTTCCTGCATCCTCTTGCGCGTCAGCTGCCTCTGGCGCATCAAAATCAGGGGACGAGTCAGATCTTGCCGCATCAGAATCAGGGGACGAGTCAGAGGTTGGTGTCTCTGGCGGCCAAGACTTTGTTGCTCGTGTCACCGACGGCCCCGGTTTGGTGTCACTGACGACTCCTCTGTCTGAGCGGGCCCTGTCGCGTTTGCCCGAGGCTCAAAAGGCCGAGCTGCGCGCGAGCTGCCGATCGAACAGGCCTAAGGAGAACCATTTCGTCGACAACAGGGCGAGTTGGGAAGCGAGCGCAAGAGCTCATGTCCGTAACTGGCAAATGCCGCAGCGGCAGGACGGAAACGGCTATGCGCTCCTGAAATGCCTCGCTCGACGTTTTCTGCGAGCCCGCCCCTACGCTGGGGCAGGTTCGCTACGGCATGGCCCACCGAAGCAACAACCCACAAAACGCGGGGCAGAATTGGGACGTCGTGCGCGCCGTGGCCTCCGAGAAACAACACTACAAGAAGCGGCTCCATGAGGCCCTGTGGCCTGACGCTGCCTCTGGCGCGCCTGTCGCGCCCTTCGCCGACGCATGCCCGAATGCCGTGCTCGGCGACGGGTGGGCGGCGCTCACGACAGAGGCCTTCGAGGAATCGAAGCGCGTGGCCGGCATTCGCAGCGACGAAAAGGTACGTCCACCACATCCTCGAGAAGCACAGCGGCGAGGCGCGGCACTGGGGGCGCATCACATGGACCGAGGTGGACCCTGGCCACGTGGAGATGCTCTTCCACGTCAATTTCTCGCATTACCAACTGGTCAAGACCGAGCGTGCGCGTGAGTATCTGGCCTGGGCGAGTGCGAAAAGGAAGACGGAGTTCCTGCTTCTGGAGGAAATCGACAAGGTCCTTGACATGGAGGATGGCGAGACCCACGTTCTCAAGCGTGAAATAGGCCACGTCACCTCTGCCTCTGGCGAGACGTGGTACATCAGGGCGGGCCATTACATAACACTTGCCGAGCTGTTCAACTACGGATGCCTCCTATGCTCCTGCCGTTACCTGTACACGTTGTACCTCCAACAACCGATGTTCGCACGTGGGAAAAGCCACAGCCGATCGCAGTCGGAGCAGGCTGTTCTCAACAGGAATGCCCGGCTCCTCCAGTTTCAGGAGAGAGGGACCTGGCGACTGCCCAGGTGGCAAGGGTGAGAGCGTGGCATTGCTGGGTCGCTGCCTCTGGCGCGCCTTTAGGACACTTACTCTCTTCTGCCCTAGCTGCCTCTGGCGCCTCCTTACTTCTGCGCGCAGCGCGTCGCTGCTGAGCGCGCTCGCCTGCGCACGGGCGAAAGAAGAAAACCGCCGACGACATCGTCCTCGTCGACGTCATCGCCACTCGCATCATTGTGCTCTCTGTGTATTGTTGCTGCCTCTGTGAACTTTTCGTTTGCCTGTTTACTGTTCTCCTCGTATTATTCCATTTCTTTCGTGGTGTTTAGCTTACCTCTTACTACTATGGTCGCGTTCAGTTTCCTCCTGGTCGTGTTTAATGTGTTCCTGGTCGTGCTTCGTTTTCTCCTTGTCGTGTTTGGCGTTCCTATGGTAGTATTCTCTAAAACCTACTTAGTTTTCTCCCGGTCGTGTTTGGTAGTTCTGTCCTATAATCGCGTTTAGTTTTGTTATGGTCGTCTTTAGGTTTGCCATGGTCGTGTTTCGTTTTCTCCTGGTCGTGTTTCGTTTTCTCATGGTCGAGTTGGGTTTTTCCTGGGTCGTGCTTAATTTCCTCGTGTTCGTGTAGTGTTCCCGACAGATAATCCATGCCCAGCTCGACGTTGCCTTTTGGAATGAAGTCACGCAGGCGCGCTGACCTTGGCATCGCTTACCGCTGGCCTCTCGCAGCTCTTCTTCTGATCCAGCTTTCCTCCTCGCGCAGGCGTCCGCGCCATGGGGCGCGCGCGAACGTCTGCTGGCGGCTGCGGTTCCGCCGCCGCAGAGTACGATGCGCGCGTGCAGGAGAATCAGCATTTGGCTTTGGCGCTCGCAGAGAAGTAGCTGGATATCCGCAAGCTCCAGGAGGAGAAGTCGGAGTACAAACGCAAGTACGAAGATTTGACTTCGACTCTGAAGGCGCTCGCGGACGGCGTCGGGAACGCGAAGCTGCCTGCTGAGCCTGCCGTCGCTGCCTCTGGCGCGCGTGCGCAGGACAAAAACGACAAGACGGATGTTTTCCAGGACAAGAACTTCCCGCTGAAGGTCCACCGACAGGCGAAGCCAGTGATCGCGGACAGCTCTGGGAAGATCCACGAATCGGTCGAGGACGCTCACACTGGGAAGCGACGGATGAATCGCGAATGGTACTTTCGCAACAAGGCAAGATTAGCGGCTCTCGGAGACGCTGTTTCTGGCGCGCGCCGCGCTAACGACATCTCTGGCGCAAGTTCTTCGAGGGCACAAGGCAGCGCGGGTGGGGGATCTTCCAGCGCAGCCGGCGGTGCAGCGGCAGCGTCTGCGGAGGAGGAGGGCCGCCTGGACGACGAGGAGACGGCTCCTGTAGAGCCAGGCCGCAAGAATATTTTAATAGCGCACCGGGATCGTCAACTGATCCAGGCTGCCTTTGGCGCTGATATCTTTTCACGCAGAAATGGCTTGCCGGCTGCCTCTGGCGCTTCCCTCGTTTGGCGCAGGGTTCGGCAGACTCGGGGCTCCGTATCAGCTAGGTGCGCTCTGCGCCGCTGGTGCGGCGTGCCGCGGGAAAAAAAGGAACGCTCATGCTCTGGCGCTGCTGCCAGCTGCTGGTACTGCTGCTGCTCCGCCTCCTCGAGCTTCTCCTGCTGCTGCTCCTGCGACACTGCCTCTGGCGAGGATGACGAAGAGTAGGCGACGCACTGTCTCTGGCGTGCCACAACGCTGCCTCTTGCGCGCCCCTGGCCACGCGAGTGGTCCCTGGAGCACTCGCTTCCGAGAGGGGCCTAGTGGCATCGGCACTGAGGGGTAAATTATCGCATGAAGGTTGTTGCGAAGGAGGGTGTTTGCACCGTCCTTGCGTTGACAGTGCGGAGCGTTTCATTCTCATGCGCATGTCGTGCTGACGGTTGCTGCCTCTGGCGCAATTGTGCGGCTGCCTCTGGCGCTCTGTGGTCCTTGCGTAGATGGCAAGAGTGACTCTTCATCTGCGCCATGTCAATGTAAAAGAAGCCACTGCTCCTCTCAACCATCGTGCGAGCTACCATTGGATGCTGACGCTGCTTCCGACCTCGCCCTCGCTCTCTGCAGTCCAACCGACTTCTTACCCTTGCCCGAGGATATTTCATCCTCAGCTTCGCTCCCGCCCTCATCTTCCTCACCGTCGCCCTCTGCTCCGAGGTCATTTTCGTGCTCAGCTTCACCCCCGCCTCACGCTATCCTTGCCTTCACCTCTTAGACTTCTCGGTGCTCACCCACATCCTCACCCTCATGTTCGCAGCCGCCATCGCGGTCGTCCATCGCAGCCTTTTCGGCTCAACAACGCCTCTGGCATTGGCGCCCGAGGCGCCACGCGCGGGGCAGCATGGAGAAGCGCGCCCTGGACTCGCACGCTGCTGCCTCTGGCGCCGAGGGTCTTGGCCTCGAATTGGAAGAGGCAGACAATATGGGAAACCGCGTGCTGCAGTGGCGAAAGAAGCACCCCTGCAGAAATTATGTCGACCTCCAGGTTCTGGCTCCATCGGGGGGCCTTTGTGAAGTCCAAGATCAGGTTGCAGGAGGAGTCTACACGCACATCGTCGGCAACACGTGCATTCGCGAAGATGTCCTCATTCCTCTCTCCCAGGAAATTGAATTCCCTGGGTTTCCTGGCGATTTTCGCCCAGGACAGGCAGTGCCCCCAGTGGGGCGCGCGGGTGATGACTTGAGGGTGTACACAGACGCTGCCACTGGCGCGACGATGCAGCACGCGACAAATGTGCATCGCATGGCCGAGTCGGCTTCCTCTCATCCTCTCGCGTCCACACTGGACATTCACCTTTACGAGGGCTGGATTGACAGCCCAGAGGACTCGCGAGGCCGAGCGACAAAGGGCAACCAGAGCCCTTTCTTCCTAACCATCAGCCTCGTTTGCACTGGGATGGTCTTCAAGGTGGGCCTCTCCACGAGATAGGCTCACAATGATATGTTGCGCATCTGGTGGGCCCCAAGCAAGGCGTGCGCGGCTACAGGGACAGCAAGCTGCATCAAGGCTGCGCGGCAGGTGTTTTTCGACATCACGGAGCTGGATGTGGAAAGTGTCTCCCCCTGCCGCGAGGATGATGGGACGTGGGTCAGCGAAGACGACGCTGCCTCTGGCGCGCCCGCTGCCTCTGCAGCGCTCGTGGCGCCCCCCGACGAGGAAGCGAAGCGAGAGATTCAGCTTCTGCCTCCGCGCGCGGGCGACGCGAAGGACACGGGGCGCTTAGTGTCACTGTCCGACTCGGACGACAGCAGTGACGGCGACGCGGAGGACACGGGGCGTTTAGTGCCACTGTCCGACGAGGACGACAGCAGTGACGACGACTGCGACAGTTCCGAGTCGGAAGACGTTGCCTCGGCCGCGGAGCCGAGTGCTGCCTCTGGCGCAATGCGTGTTGGTGCCTGGCGCACTGCGTGGTGGCGGTGCGTGGTGGTTCATTCCAATGCTTATTATTCGAGCTGGCCGCGGGAGGCAATAATGTGGCTGTGCGAGCAAGGCCCGGCGAAGGAGCGGCGACGACGCATTTCCCGACTCATCAAGGAAATGTCATCGGCGTGCGATCACATTCTTCACCCTGGCGATGCGATGGAAGGCATCCACCACTGGAACGACACACCCGAGTACTGGAACCAAAGGTGGGTTCGCGCTTGGGCGTCACATCAGATGCACTACCTCCGCGAGCTGACCGACGCCTGGGAAGACATTTCTTTGGGCGATGGGAAGTATTGGTTTTGCAACGCCTGGCCCAACTTGGTTCCCGCTGCCTCTGGCGCGCCGCGTGTGGAGCGCCTGCCGCGGGATCATCCCGGGTGGGGTCACCTGCGCGAGATGTTCGGAATCAACAGCATCCCGGAATTCTTGAACCACTTGTTCAACAAGCACGACGGGGAGGTCAGAGTTGTTCGATACTCTGGCTGGACGCGTGTGCGGCAGAATTGCGTGACTCATCCTCGATTGTGGCATTCCCAGTTCGCCAGGACCGAGAGTTCGCTGAGTTTTTTTTGTACTGGAGAGACAACAGCAAATGGCTCGAGTGGCGCGACGTTGAGTGGATTCTCAACGGGCAGTCTGACGGCCACACGACGTTGCTCCGTCGTGCTCCCACTGCCTCTGGCGCGGCTAGTGGGATGTTCGAGGTGGACATGCGACAAGGACAAGTCGTGACGCTCGCACATATGTTCTCCCTGGGCGCAGGGTACTGCACTGCCTACGACATGTACAAGCTGCACATGGATCTGCCCATCCTCGCCCACAAGCACAAGAGGGATAGTACAAGGGCCAGGACGAAGCGAGCGCGAGTGCAATGATTTCCGACTGCCTCTGGTGCTTCTTTCCTTTCAGGATGCGTTGCCTTCCAGCTGCCTCTGTTTTCCTTGGCGGCGGCGCCCTGGGCTGCTTCGCGGCTTCACTTCCGCGCGCGCAAGAAACATCTTGCTCATGCCATGCCATGTTGTTGCTGCTGCTGCTCCTATCAGGACCCTAGCAACACTAACGAGACCCTAGGACAAATAAATCAAGACCCTCCCACAACTAAGCGATCCTTAGAAAAACTAAACAGGACTCTGCCAAGAAGAGACCTTAGGAAAACTAAGCGGGACCCAAGCAAAACTACACGAGGCCTAGGACAACTAGGCAAGACCATAGGACAACTCACAAGACACTAGGAAAATTAAACAGGACCCTGCCCAACCAAACCTAAACATAGGAAAAGTAAACATGACCCTAGCAAAACTAAACTAGACCCTCGGAAAACTAAACAGGACCCTAGCACAACTAAACGAGACCCTAGGACAAGTAAGCAGCCCCCCTCCCCCCCCCCCCCCCCCCCCCCCCCCCACCCACCCCCCCAGCAAAATTAAGCGAGACTTTGGGACGCATAAACAAAACCTGCCAAAACTAAACGAGACCCTAGGAAAACGAATCAAGACCCTACCAAAACTAAACGAGACCCTAGGACAACTAAACAGGACGCTAGCAAAACTAAACGAGACCCTAGGGAAATTAAACAGGACCTTGCCAAAACTAAACGAGACCCTCGGACAACTAAACAGGACCCTGCCAAAAGCTAAAGGAGACCCTAGGAAACTAAACATGACCCTAGCAAAACTAAACGAGACCGTAGGAAAACGATCGAGGACCCTAGCAAGACTAAACGAGACCGTGGGAAAACGAAGCAGAACCTTGCCAAACCTAAACGAGACCCTAGGACAACTAAACATGACCCTACCAAACTAAACGAGGCCCTAGGACAACTAAACGAGACCTTAGGACAACTAAACAAGACCCTTGCACAATTAAGCGTGATCATCGGGAAACTTAAACATGACCCTACCAAAACTGAGCGAGACCCTAGGACAACGAAACAGGACCCCGCCTAAACTAAACGAGACCATAGGAAAAGTGAACAGGACCTTGCCAAAACTAAACGAGACCATCGGCAAACTAAACATGACCCTGGCAAAACTAAACGAGACCCTAGGACAACCAAAAAGGACCCTGCCAAAACCAAACGAGACCCTAGGACAACTAAACACGACCCTGCCAACACTAAACGAGACCATGGGAACATTAAACAGGACCCTCGCAAAACTAAAGGAGACCCTAGGACAACTAAACAGGACCATATCACAACTAAACGAGACCGTAGGAAAACTAAAGAGGACCCTAGCAAAACTAAACGAGACCCCGGGACAACTAAACATGACCCTGCCAAACTAAAAGGGACCCTAGGACAACTAAACATGACCCTACCAAAACTAAACGAGGCCCTAGGACAACGAAACAAGACCCTGCCAAAACTAAACGAGACCTTAGGACAATTAAACATGCCCCTGGCAAAACTAAACGAGACCATCGGAAAACGAAGCACGACCCTGCCAAAACTAAACGAGACCCTAGGAAAAGTGAACAGGACCCTACCAAAACCCAACGAGACCTTAGGAAAAGTAAGCAGGACCCTAGCAACACTATACGAGACCTCAGGACAACTAAACAGGACCATACTAAAATTAACCTAGACCCTGGGAAAACTAAGCAGGACCTTGCCAACACGAAACGAGACCCTAGGACAACTAAACAGTGGCCTCGCGAAACTAAACGAGACCCTAGGGAAACTAAACAGGACCCTAGCAAAATTAAACGAGACCAACGGACAACTAAAAAGAAGCTTAGCAAAACTAAACGAGACCATAGGACAACTAGACCAAGACTAACGGGACCTTAGAAAAACTAAGCAGGACCCTGCCAAAAACTACGGGACCCTCGGACAACTAAACAGACCCTAGCAAAACTAAACGGTACCATAGGACAAGTAAACGAACCGTGCCAAAACGAAACGGGACCTCTAGGAAAACTAAGCACGACCCTAGCAAAACTAAGCCAGACCCTTGTAAAACTAAACAGGACCCTGCCATAACTAAACGAGACCCTCGGAAAATTAAGCAGGGCCCTAGCAAAACGAAACGATACTTTCGGAACAGTAAACATGACCCTGCCAAAACTAAACGAGACCCTAGGAAAGCTAAACATGGCCCTGGCAACATTAAACGAGACTTTAGGACAACGAAACATGACCCTAGCAAAACTAAACGCGACCCGCGGAAACCCAAACAGGACCCTGCCAAAATTAAACGAACGGGACCCTGGAGAGAGAGAGAGAGAGAGAGAGAGAGAGAGAGAGAGAAGGGGAATCTCCTCTCCTCTCTCTCTCTCTCTCTCTCTCTCTCTCTCTCTCTCTCTCTCTCTCTCTCTCTCTCTCTCTCTCTCTCTCTCTCTCTCTCTCTCTCTCTCTCTATAAGAAAACACAGGGCCCAAACGAGACCCTGGGGCAAATTAAACGCGACCCTAGCAACATTAAACGGTACCCCATGACAATTAAACATGACCCTAGCATAAGTAACAACACCCTCGGCCAACTAAACAGGACCCTGCCAAAACTAAACGAGACCCTGGGAGGACTAAACATGACCCTAGCAAAACTAAACGGGACCCCAGGGCAACGAAACGTGACCCTATCAAAACTTAATTAAGCCATTGGAAAACTAAGCAGGACAATGCCGCAACTACACGTAACCTTAGGACAAATACACAGGATCCGAGCAAAAAGCTAAACGAGACCATATGACAACTAACCAGGACCCCAGCAGAACTAAACGAGGCCCTATGACAACGAAACAGGACCCTGCCAAAACTAAACGAGACCCTCTGAAAACCAAACAGGACCCTACCAAAACTAAATGACGAGACCCAGCGAAAACTAAACAGGACCCTGGCAACACTAAACGAGACCCTAGGACGACTAAACAGGACCCTAGCAACACTAAACGAGACCGTCGGGAAATTACGCAGGACCCTGCCAACAAAAAAAACAGACCCTAGTGAAACTAAACATGGTCCCACCAAAACTAAACGAGACCATGAAGGAAAACTGAACAGGACCCTGCCAAGACTAAACGAGACCCTCGGGCAACTAAACAGAACCTTGCCAACGCTAAACGAGACCCTACGGAAACTAAACATGACTCCGCCAATACTAAACGAGACCCTAGGGAAACTAAACAGGACCCTGCCAAAACTAAACGAGACCCGAGGACAACGAAACAGGACCTTACCAGCAACTCGACGAGACCGTACGAAATCCAGACAGGATCCTGCCAAAACTAAACGAGACCGTAGGACAACTAAATCTAAGATGACCTTGGCAAAACTAAACAAGACCTTAGGACAACTAAACATGATCCGAGCAAAACTAAACGATACCATAGGACAAGTAAACAGGACCCGACCAAATTTTAAAGGGGACCTTAGGACAACTAAAAGAGACCCGAGGAACACTAAACAGGATCCTAGCAAAAAAACTAAACGAGACCATAGGACAACTAACCAGGACCCCAGCAGAACTAGACGAGGCCTTAGGACAACGAAACAGGACCTTACCAAAACTAAGCGAGACTCTAGGACAACTAATAAACAGGACCCTAGCAAAACTAAACGAGACCTTGGGACAGCTAAACAGGACCTTAGCAAACCTAAACGAAACCCTGGGGACATTAAGCGGGACCCTACCAAAACTTAACGAGACCCTCGTACAACTAAACAGGACCCTAGCAAAACTAGACGAGACCCTAGGATAACTAACCAATACCATAACAAAACTTAACGATACCCTAGGACAACTAAACAAGACCCGACCAAAACTTACGGGACCATGGACAAACTAGACCAAATTTAGCGAGACCCGAGGAAAACTAAACAGGGCCCTACCAAAAACTACGAGACCCTAGGAAAACTAAACATGACCCTGACAAAACTAAACGAGACCCTAGGAAAGTCAACATGTCCCGACCAAAACTAAACGAGACCCCCGGAAAATTAAACGGGACCCTAGCAAACGTAAGCGAGACCTTGGGAAAATTAAACACGACCCCGCCACAACTGAACGAGACCTTAGGAAAGCTAAACAGGACCCTAGCAACACTAGACGATACCCTAGGACAATTATACAGGACGTTCGCAACACTAAACGAGACCCCGGGACAATTAAACAGGACCCGACCAAAACTTAACGAGGCCCTAGGACAACGAAACAGGACCCTAGCAAAACTGAGCGAGACCCTAGGACAACGAAACAGGACCCTAGCAAAATTGAGCGAGACCCTAGGACAACTAAACAGGACCCTGGCAGATTTGAACGGGACCCTCGGACAACTCATCAGGACTCTACCAAAACTAGACGAGACCCTAGGGAGAGAACAAAAAACTGAACATGACCCTAGCGCAACTAAACGAGACCATGGGGCAACTAGACAGGACCCGAGCAAAACTAAACGAGGCCCTACGAAAACTAAACAGGACCCTGGCAAAACTAAACGAGACCCTCGGACAATTAAACAAGACCCTAGCAAAACTAAACGAAACCCTCGGAAAACGAAACGCGAGACCCAAGGACAACTGAACAGGCCCCTACCAACACTAAACGAGACCCTCGGACAATTGAATAGGACCCTGCCAAAAACTACGAGACCCTGGGAAAACTGAACAGGACCCTAGCAAAACTAGACGAGACCCTAGGACAACTAAATAAGACCCTGGCAAACCTAAACGGGACCTCAGGAAAACTAAACAGGACCCTACCAAAACTAAACGATACCATAGGAAAGCTAAAGAGGACCTTAGCAAAACTAAACGAGACTCTAGGACAACTACACAGGACCCTACCAAAACTAAACGAGACCCGCGGAAAACTAAACAGGACCCTGCCAAAACTAAACGAGGCCCTAGGACAACTGAACAGGGCCCTCGCAAGACTAAACGAGACCATAGGACACAAGACCCTACCAAAACTTAACGAGACCCTAGGACAACTAAACAGGACCCTGCCAAAACTAAACGAGACCCTAGGACATTTAAGCAGAACCCTACCAAAAGTAAACGAGACCTTCGGTAAATTAAACAGGACCCTGGCAAAAGTAAACGAGACCCCAGGAAGAGTAAACATAACCTTGCCAACACTAAACGAGACCCTCGGACAATTAAACAGAACCCTGCCAAAACTAAACGAGACCCTAGGAAATGTAAACAGGACCCTCGCAACACTAAACGAGACCTTAGGAAAACTAAAAAGGACCCCGGCAAAACTAAGCGAGGCCTTAGGAAATCTGAACAGGACCCTAGCCAAACTCAATGAGACCCTAGGAAAACTAAACAGGACCCTACCAAGTTTAACGAGACCCTAGGAAAACTAAACATGACCCTACCAAAACTAAACGAGACTCTCGGACAATGAAACAGGACCCTAGCGAAACTAAGCGGGACCTTCGGAAAACCAAACAGGACCCCAGCAAAACTAAACGAGACCTTCGGACATTTAAGCAGGACCCCAGCAAAACTACACGCGGCCCTAGGAAAACGAAGCAGGCCTAGCAAAACTAAACGAGACCCTAGGAAATCTAAACAGGACCCCGGCAAAAGTAAACGAGACCCTCGGACCCTAGCAAAACTAAACGAGACCCTAGGAAATCTAAACAGGACCCGGGCAAAAGTAAACGAGACCCTCGGACCCTAGCAAAACTAAACGAGACCCTAGCAGAACGAAGCTTGACCTTACCAAAACTAAACGAGACCCTAGGACAACTGAACAGGACCATACCAAAACTAAACGAGACCCTAGGAAAAGTAAAGAGGACCTCGGAAAAAAACTTGACGATACCCTAGGACAATTAAATAGGACCCTAGCAAAACTAACGAGGCCCTACGAAAACGAAGAGGACCCTACCAACATTCAACGAGACCCTAGGAGAAAAACAACTAAACAGGACCCTAGCAAAACTAAACGAGACCCCAGGACAACTAAACAGGATCCTAGCAAAATCAAAGGAGACCCTGCGTCACATTTCGGCTCGAACCCCCTGTTGCTCAGCGTTCCTCGCTTCGCCACTAGCGCGCTCGCTGCGCCTTCTTCCGCCGTGCGCGAAGACGCCGCCTCTGGCGCGTCGCGCGCTGCGCGGTCTCCGCGGCGGCGCCATGGCCGAACTTCGAGGCCGCGCGCGTCCAGGCGGTCGACGCGTACCTGCTGGAGCAACGCGCCAGCGACAAGAAGATCAGCTGGCACGCCGTGCTGAATAACCACGCCTCGACGCGCCCTAAAAAGTACGGAGGCGCTTTGGCCCCAGCCGTCGCCAATTGCAAGGAATTCGCTGCCTCTGGCGCGGGCTGGCGGTGCACCCTGACTTTGCCGAATAGCTTTGCGCCTGGAGATGGCCGTCGGCTCGTTGCGATCGGGGAGAGCGAGACGAAAGACAAAGCGTCGGAACTCGCTTGCCTCCGAGCCGTCGCTTCGCTCGTCATCGAAAACCCAGGCCAGGTTGTGCTCCGACTGGTGCACTGGAAGGTGACGCCCGACGTGCTCGTGGCCAATCTGCCCGAGCAAGTCGCCGCCGACCCTGCCTCTGGCGGGCGCGCACTGCCAGTGCGCACCCCTGCGCGGCCCCAGGGCGCGGGCTCGGAGGCTGACGCGCATGGCGCTGACGCGCGCTTGGTTCAACTCGTCGAAGACACCCTCAAAACGCACGGCGGTGAGTTCGATCCGTCGTGAATTTCCCAGGAGAAGATGCGTTGGCGCGACGAGCGCCCGTGGGAAACATTCAATAAGCTTTTAATGCCTGGGGGGCTGAAGGCCTTCCTCGACAAACACTCCGATTAATCCGCTTGGCGCGTGCGCGCAGGCAACAAAGGCATGCTCATCACATGGGCGAACTGGGTGGCGCAGGAGGGGCGCGGCGCCGCGCCACCATGGGAGCGCCCCGCCACGGGCGAAGCCGCCCCGCCACGGACAGCGCCCCAACAGGGAGTGGCCTCAGGAAGCGGCCAGGATCAGAGCAACCCTTGGGGATACCTTGCCTAGGCCTTTGGCGTGGCCGAGTCGCTGCCTCTGGCGTGCCGCTGCCTCTGGCGCGTCTTCTGAGGCCAACGCGGCGCCGCGGCAGCTGTTGCCTGGCCTAGGCCTCTGGCGTGGCCGAGTCACTGCCTCTGGCGTGCCGCTGCCTCTGGCGCGTCTTGTGAGGCCAACGCGGCGTCGCGGCTGCTGCTGCGAGCGGAAAAACTCGTCGTCGTCATCGCCGCCATCGTAGTCGCCATCATGACCGCCGACATCATCAGCAAAATCAGCGACGTCACGACCACCGACATCATGACCATCGTCATCATGACCACCGTCATCATGACCACCGACATCACGACCATCGTCATCATGACCACCGACATCACATGGCATCATCAGCGCCAACGTCATCATCATCGTCATCATCATCATCATCGCCATCATCATCATCATCGCCATTGCCATCATCACGCCAAGTTCGCATCATATTAGCGCCGCGGATCCTTAATCTGATGTTCGACCCCCTTGGTGGACCAGGCAGCTGCAGGTGCGTGGCTTCAAGGAGCCCCCGATCTACCAGGAGGTCGCCGAGGTGCTGCTCGAGGGCGCCGAAGGCGCCGATGACGACGGCTATGCCAAGGCGCGGGCGAGGAGCTCGCTCATGTTCATGCCCAGCGAGCTGGAGCTCACGCGGCAGAGCTCGGGGCCGCACGCGGCGCGCCGCTCGGGGTTCGCCGCGCCGCGCGCGTCGCGCCTCGCCCCCGCGCTGTCGCAGGGCCAGACGCTGCGCAGGGGCGCCGCCATCGACTGCGCGAGGGGCGAGGGCGCTGGTCGCACGGGCATGTCGGACGAGCAGTGGCGCCCGCCCCTCTACGTCACGGTCTCCCGCGCCGCGCGCGCGGAGCGTGCTGATCCCGCGGCCGCCGTTGCGCGTGTTCCTGGAGCGAGGGCCGCTGGCATCCTTGCGGAAGGCGCTCCTGGAGTTCGACGTCAGAGCGGTGGGCTCCAGGGCAGTGGCGGAAAAGCTCGCGGCAGAGCTGGGTTTCGTGCCGCCCCCCGCCTGAGCGCGGCGGCGCACCGCTCGGAGCCCGCGGGGTTGCCCCGGCGGCTTGGTCTCGCGCGCCAACGGCTCGCGGGGCTGCCCCGACGAACTGGCCCGCGGGGCTGCCCCCGACGGCTGCGCGATTTCGCCGTCGGAGAACGCGCCCCTAAGGGCGCCGAGGAAAATCTACGCGCGCGCTCTTGCCAGGAAGAAGGAAAAACGCAGGACGAGAGGGGCGGCGTTGAGAAGGGGGGAAGTGGAGGAGGCGGGGGGGGGGGGGCATGGCAGAGGCCGAGGACGAGGAGGAACATGAGGAGGAGTGGGGGGAAATGAAGGAGGCGCAGGAGGAGGAGGAGGAGGAAGCGGAAGAGGAACATGATGACAAATGCCATGAGTAGGACGAGAAGGAACAAGAGGAGGAAAAGGAGGAAACTGAGGAGGAGGACGAGGGGCGCGGAATGGGCTGAAGGAGGCCTCCGCCAGACGAAGAAACAAACGATGGGACATCACATGGATTCTCATGCGGGGCCCCACCGTCGGAGTAATGGTTGGTCGTATGTTTCGACGGTCCTTGGCTGAAGGGGTTCCCAAGGAGGGATCACGTCAGGCTCGTTCTTGCAGTGCGGCGAATCAGCCGTAATGGTGAGGTTTGGCCGAGAAATGCGCCAATCTATTAGTGGTGATGTGTCGTCGTCCCCGTTGGGGTCTGCAAAAATCAGGGAAGAGGAGGGGGAGGATAATGAGGACAAGGACGAAGTGGAGAAGAGGGGGGTCGTCCGCGGAACCCCAGGGCACAAGCAACTTATAAATGAGCCGATCGTCATCCGCTCAAACGGTTAAACAGGAAATATCAGGATCATGCCCCCCACGTTCCCCTCTTGAGAGCGCCACTTTCCACAATGACTGACGTTACCCCGTGTCAGCGCATGAAAGCCTGAGCGGTACATGGCGAGTCATCGTCATAAGAGCAGTGCAGCTGTTGGAGTTTGTTGTTCGTGCTTGGGATCGCACTGAGCGAGGTCGCCCCCAGCGAGGGCGCGAGTTTGAACATGGATCGCCCTCCACCCGTCAGTTGTTGGACAGTTCCGTTTGCGGAATTTCGAGTTTCACGAACGCCTCAAACGACAGCGCGACGTTGCGTGCTAACGGAAGCCATCCATCCGTGTAGCCGTTGGAAAACCACAGTTCCGAAGCCGATGGAGGCCTACAGGGTCCCAATACGCCCAACGGATCCCGATGATCGTTCATGCGTGTTTGTGGGTGTCGATATTTCTTCACACACGTGTATATATAGATATAGATGTATGCCTCTTTCTCTCTTTTTCCCTCTCTCTGTCTCTCCTTAGCTGTCTTCCCTCTGCATCTGTGGATACATGTGTATATCTATATACAGATCGCACATGCATGCATACCCTCTCTCTCTTCCCCTCTCCATTTCCCTCGCCCTCGCCCTCTCCATTTCTTTCTCTCTGTGTCTCTCCCTCTCCCCCGTTTTCAGCGTACACGTGCACACATGTTATTCTGCTTTCCTTTCCTCTTCTCTCCCCCCCTCACGTATCCGCGCTCTTGCCCGCGAGGTGCAAGAGCGCCACCATGAGCAATTGGACGATGGCGGAGGCCCCCACTTCCCTCTCTGCCCGCCTGGCTGCCTCCTGCCTCCCTCCTCCCTTCCCTCCCTCCACTCATCCTTCCCCCGCCCTCCACTCCCTCCCTCCCTCCCTCCCTCCCTCCCCTCCCTCCCTCCTCCCTCCCCTCCCTCCCCTCCCTCCCCCCCGCCCCTCCCTCCCCTCCCCTCCCTCCCTCCCCCCCCCTCCCCTCCTCCTGCCTCCCTCCCCCTCCCTCCCCTCCCTCCCTGCCTGCCTCCCTCCCCTCCCCTCACTCCCTACCTCCCCTCCTCCCCCTCCCTCCATCCTTCCCCCCCCTCCCCTCCCCACCTCCCTCCCTCCCTCTCCATCCCCCTTTTCCCTCTCCCATCTCCTCCCCTCCCCCCTCTTCGTAGCCGCCTCTCTCGGGTCCCTCCATGCGGCGGGAGCGTGGGGGCCAGTGGGCGCTCTCCCTCTACAGAGTGAGAGCGCTTGGATCCGAGTCGCGCCCTTTGCCGTTTCCTCCCCCCCCCCTCTGCACGACAGTGTTTGTCAAAACGTTCCAGCACGCTCCCCTCTCCGTGGCCATATTTACTCGGGTTTCAGATCGGCTCAGGTCAGCGTTGGGCTCAAGCGAGCTAGCTGGCCGCATGTCTCGAGATCCTGGGGCTGTACACTCCGCGTGCCTTCCCCGCATCCTTACCCTTCCCTCACTTCTTAAGCCCCCCACATCCTTACCATTCCCTCGCTTCTCTTAAACCTCTTACATCATGGCTTGCACGCACGCGGCCTGTCCGCTTTTCGGCGCGCTGCCCGCGATGGCCGACGTACTGGGCAGATGCCGACGTTGCGGTCGGGGACTACCTGGGCATGCTGTCCTTCAGGAGGTGCCCAGTGGTCTTTCCCAGGATGTCGGTGGGACCTGCGCATCGGTAGCGAGGAGCTGGACAACAATGAAGTCGAGGAGGAGTATCGGGGGGTCAAGCCATCTTTCTACTCTGAACTATTCCGAAACTGGGTGGTGAAGGGGATCATCCAGCATTTTACGCACGCGGAGGCTGCTGGTGTCACTGTCCCTGCCATGGCAGCCGTGCCGATCTAGTACCCAGACAATCTCATCTCCTTGATGCCCATCCTCGCGAAGGTGGGTTGCCGCCCTGATGCCACGGACCCATGGGAGATGCTTCGATTCGCGAAAGTGGACGGACAGGATCCCTCCGAACAGGGGCTGGCCTCCCGTGGGCGTTCGGCTCGTGCCCTTCTCACGCTGGCCCTCAATGGCGACTGGGAGGCCTCGGAGCGCCTCGCTGCCCCGTCGCTCGCGGACAAGTTCTCGCAGGCCGTGGAGAGGTGCGGGGAGGAATTGCCAGCGGTGCTCAAGGCTCGGCGGCGGATCGAGCCCGCCAATCTCCCTCTGTACAAGGAGCTGGGCCGCGACGCGATCGAGATGGTCATCTCCAGCGCGCAGGTCCAGGACCTCCAGCTCTGCACGCAGTGGTCCGACGTGCTTCGCTGCGCATTTCCGCCCGTGGCGTCAGTCGATGATTCCCGGGCTCTGGCCACCCCAACGGAAAAGGGGGACGACAGGGCCTGGGACACCGTGGCCAGGAAGCACGCAGTCATGCGGGCTCTGTCCGACTCTAGTGCGCTTTGCCGGTGCCTCGCGTCATTCCTCTTGGCATCGCTCGGACGTGTGCATTTTTTCTTCGGCGAGGGCCATCGCGGACCATCCTTGATCATTTGGCGAAGAAACCACGCGCGAAACCGAAAAAAACACAGGGAATGGACGTCCGAGCGATGGCCAGCATGGTCCTCCCCATTGTTGTCCGAGAGGTGGATGGCGATCGTCCGGGACAGCGTTCGTGTCGTTCCCTTGCGATGTGATTTTGCCCGACCGTTACGGTTCGCCGAAGCACGACAGGCGTGGCCTCGCCATGTTTTCTGTGCGGCAGTCAGGTCCCCGTGCCGATCCCCGCATGATCCACATGGGTTCTATCTTGCAGGTTGACGAGTTCGCCGCCGTCACCTTCGACATGGTTGCGGACAACCTCACTTTGTTTTCGGTTTTGGGCCAGCTGCAGCGTCTGGAGGGCGCGTCCATTCGATGCCACCAGCGGAGTCCTCTCTCCAGCAAGGACATCCCTCGCATCTCGATTGACGTCATCTTCCATCCCCAAACCGCTGAGCTAGTGCAGATGCTTGTATTGAAGTTTCTACGTGTGCAGCGTCTTCCAGCCTCCACATTCTTTGGGTTCAAATCTATGATGGGCTCCGTGGACGCGACGATCCTGGAGCGCAGCGGGCACAATTTGTTCCAGCACTACTGGCCGCTGTGCTCACAGATGCTGCCGCTGGGGGCCTCCAGGATCTTGGTCTTCTCCGACTCCTCGGCTGAGACGTGGGCGAGCGTCTTGGGCAGCATCTACCAGGCCGACAAAGACAACGCAGCCACCCGCCTGAAGTGGAAGCTCTCACGCAGTGGGGGCCGGATTTTCGCAACTCCTGCGGCCATCTCGGCTCAGTTGGCTGCCCAGAAACGGCGGGGCGCAAAAGCTGCCCCAATCTCAGACTGCATCGCGATCTACGGGGCGCTCCATAGCCAGGCGGTGCAGATCGGTCAGGACGTGGTCGGGATCGAAGTCTGCAGCGACATTTTCGCCCTCCGTGCTGGCCAGAGAAACGGCCCGATGGGGTCGGCGGTAGATGCCCTCCGCCCCGCGGGCCTTCCAGGGCATTGCTCACAGACGGGCTGTGATTTGGGAATTCGCTGCGTTGATTATTTCGGCCACGAGACCCTTTGCGTCCTCTTTGTCTTTCGGCTAATGTCGGATCTTTCCGAGCATGGTCGTGCTGGCCGCCGCTGTTCGGGTCGTCGCCCGGCTCGTCCTCTTTCCTTTGGTGCCCCACGCGGCGCTGATCGCCCAGTCGATCGACTTTTCCCGCGTCTACATATTTTTGATTTTCGGGGGCAGGGAGCTGCTCCCCGAGTGCGTGACGAACGACTGCTTGCGCGACGTCTTTGTTCGCATCTACCGACGCCGGCGCTTACTTCGCGCCGTTGTTGCCGCTGCTGCCGCCCCAATCTACCCCCTTCTTCGGTCTGCTCCAGCGCCGTCGCCAGCGTCGACATCTCGCCAGGATGGGCAGTTCTCTGGTGACTTCTCGGTGGCGTTGTGGCACACGCAGTCCCTCTTTCGGACCCGTTCAGGCATGGTTCCGAGGGTCCCTACGCGTCCACGCGCATGGGCAAGGCGGACATCGGATTCTTCACGGAGACCCACGGCACCGAGAAGGGCAACGGCGCATGGCACCCCCCTTTGGGCACCGCGGCATTCTGGTCACGGGGCGCCTCTGCTGGTCGCGAGGGGGCTGGGGTCGCGGCGAGGAATGCGTTCTTGAATCTCTTTGACGCCGACCCTCAGTTCGTCCGCATCTGGCGCGGCCGCGCTGCTGCGCTCCGGCTACGGGGCCCGCTCGGCCCCGTGGACATCGTGGTCTCGTATTTCCACGCGGGCTCAGCTCTGACGGAGCACGATATCCATGGATTGGATCCGCATTTGAGATCGTCGGTCCACCCCCCCCCGCCCTCCGGGCGCCACTCCGCCCCCGGATCGACGATTGCGTGTCCGACTCCCAGGGCGAGTTCGCGATTCTCGGCGGCGATTTGAATTGCGTTACTTCTGCCGACGACAGGGCGCCCGTCAACTCGGGCAGAGTTCCCAGTCGACGCTACAGGGGGGATGCGCATTTCCGGTCTGTCATCAGACTCCCGTCTGCCTTCCACGAGATGCGCCAGGGGGAACCCGCGCGCGCGTCGGCCAGCGCGCGCCCCCGGCTGCGTCGAATTCCTTGCAGCCAACACGTGGCTGAACAGCTTGATCGGCAGCTCCGGGCGTCTGCTCCCAAGTGGCGCCGCGACTCATCGCGCCACCGCGCTGCGTTCTTCCCCCGCCACGCCCCGCGCAGACTCCCAGCCAGCGAGCGCAACGTATCCAGGCTCGCCTTGGAGCACGAGGACTTCCCGCGCCGCCTCGCGCTCGAGTATTTCAACGCGCTCCAGGGCGACCCGTCGCCCTCTGCCTCAGGGAGACCACGCGCGCGCAAGATGTGCATCCGCGCCGCGGCCGAGCGCCTGGAGAACGAGCTGCGGAGCCCGCCAGCCGCAGTGCACCAAGAGGACAGGATCGGGGCCACTATGACATTCATTCGGGCATGTGAGAAAGGTTTTGACATGACATGTCGGCGCGCCTGGCTCGGCGCCCGCTGCTGGGAGAGCTGGCGGACAACCCGCGCCGCGTCGACGGTAATCTCTCCAGGCGCTTCCACAGAGTCAAAGACCGCGCGGCGCAGCTCGCCCGCGAGCGCGCGATCGGCGAGCGGGGGGAGTCGCGCCTGGACCTGTGGGGGGCGAACGAGCAGCGGGCCAGGCTGGCCCGGCAGAAGAACGCGCGTTTGATTTTTCGCATTGCACCGGGTCGGACCTGCAATATCGGGGCCGCGCAGGCCAGGCGGGGAGATGGGGCGGTCGAGCCTGTTCCCGTGGTTTCCGAATTCCGCTCTCACTGGGCAGAGACGTTCAAGGCGTCGCAGATCGACCGCGACTTGCTCCAAGCCTGGCTAAGCAACAGCCACAACAGCAGACCGTTGCGGCGCCGCCCCGATTCGACCCCGCGCAACCTCCGCCCAGGGCGGCAGCATGTCCGCGAGGCGGCGCTGGGATCCAACAAATCCGCGCCAGGCCCGAGCGGCATTCCATTCCTCGCTTGGCGCCGAGCTGGCGGCCCGTCTGTCCAGCGCCGCCCAGGCGATGCGCAGGGGGGGGCAGTGCTCGCCAGCGAGGAGTGCGAGGACTTCAACCACAGTTTTTTTCTTTTGCCGAAAAGATCGGCCACGCCCCCGCCTGGGAGGGGTTTTGCGAGGTTGGGGGCGTTCGCCCGCTCGACGCGGCGAACGCCGACGACCAGCTCCTCGCCGACGCGTTGCGTCTGGCTATCGAGCCCTTGGTGGGCTCCCAGGTCTTGCCGGCCCAGCGGG